AAAAAAAAAAAAAAACTTATTTTAATTGTCAAGGCCCCTAGATGCACTTGGATTCCCGGGGTGTTTCGGGATCAGCTGTTGTCTGTTGTTTCTGGAATCCTGAACCCTACCCTAAGGGTCCAAGTACNNAGTACCTAATAATCATATACTCTCCTGAATATTAACCTACAAAACTACTATCCGTAACCCAAGTACATGATTATTAGGTCCTTTGGACCCTTAGGGCTAACCCCTAAACCCTAAACCCCTAAACCCTAAACCCTTAACACTTCGACACGTTGGCCCTTTCGGAACGTCAGGCCTTAGGAGAGACTGAACGACATGTCAGTTACAAGGGGTGCAGGGATGATGTTTGTTTGTTCACAGTTTTCATTGAAGGTTCTCGAATCATCAAATTGATACGGAGATGGAAGAACGTCGGGAATGCGACAGCCTCTGAGGGCTTGGATATTGAGTTTCATGTTGACAGGGTGCTGAGTAGGCGCCACAGAACAACCACAAGATCAACGCAGATGATCTGCTTATGTTGCACTGAACCGCGCTGAAAGCCTCTGGTTGGAATTTCAAAGCGGATCTGAAGACGAGACACATCTGATCCAGCACCGAAGCCGTCCAGCACGGCTTATAGTAATTATCATACGACTGACTGTCACTGTCACTGTAGTTTCTCTGGCATGTTCATGTTAAGGTGGGCCTTCCTTTATGTAACCCGTGAGTGCGCTTGAAACCAAGCAATCCCAACACAGATAATTACATCAAAAAGGCTGCAAATCAAACAGCCAAGTACAAACGAATGAACAAACATATGTTTTGTTATCTCAGCCCTTGTAAAACAGAGATAGCTCAACATGGATTGGGTACTGTATACTTCGGGACCAGAATCTCAGCCAAAGCTGACCAGACTGTCGTGGCTTTCATTTCAGGTTCAGGGTTTGGGGTCACTTTTACAATCTATCTTCATGCTCTTCGCGTTTGTGTCTCAATGTGTCTCCAGTTTCAATACTGCTCCCGGGTTTCATTCTTGCTTTAACCTGTTCCGACGTCTGATCAATCAACCCCGCTCTCTTCATCAGACATTTCATGAAGCCAATCCTGATCTCAATGCTCTTAATGAACGGAGTTGGGTCATTAATCACAGGTCAACAGTACTTAACTTTGCTGTCGTCTTTTGTTTCATGCTTGGGGAAGGAAGCCTCTGTTTCTGCACGATAGTAGCATGTTCTTGGATTGCAAAGAGTTGTGGGTCACAAGCGTTCCCAGAGAGCCCACTACCTCTCTGCACATGTATGGGGCTGTTTAATTTTCAGATGTGGGTAATTGCTCTCTGTCATTCTTGTCAATCGACTAAGGCCTGCCAATTCCATTGACGGTGCACCGCTGGTCATGGTGACGCACTGAGCTGTGATGTTCAATGCTGAACATGGGCAATTTGTGGCCAGTGGACTTAGGGCTTGTGTTTAAGCCCGAACGAAATCCCAACGAAGGATGCTGAGTCACGTGAAGTTGTATCGTGCAATTAGGTAAAATCGCACGCGGCCGCGGGCATTGCGGGTGTAATCTAGAGTCTAGAACCCCCCATAAGCAGAGAGCGACATAGAATGAAATATACTTGCAAGCTTGTTCTGGTGATAACTTTTCCAGACATTGAGCCTCTGTCCTTAAAACCACAGGCTTGGCTTCATGACAGGCTGTTCCCTAAACCCTAAACCCTAAACCCTAAACCCTGGCTGTTTCCAAGGAGTCCCTTGCCTCACCGCTGTTCATAGCTCCAGTTCGCAAAGTCACTGTCTAACTTGGTTGGTGTTCGGTTTGAGATTCGGGGGCACGTGGGTACACACGTTTCGACTTTCGGGTTGTGTAGGGTTTTGGGTTTAGGGTTGAGGGTTCACTTTAGGGTTTAGGGTTTAGGGTTGAGGTTTCGTTGTTTTAGGGTACGGGGCCGATCGGGTTGAGGGTTCGATTCATCCCGCTGTTTCCTGTCTGGTGGGTACGTTTGGGAGTACAGAACCCTGAACCCTAAACCCTAAACCCTAAACCCTAAACCCTAAACCCTAAACCCTGAACCCTGAACCCTCAAAGCTCCAGGGCACTCAGCCCCTGAAGCCTCAATCCCGAGTTAAACCCTCAACCTCTATGACAAAACCCCAAAGCCATAAACCCTCAAAGGTGAAAGCCATAAGCCCTAATAGCCTTAGGGCCTAAGGCCCTAACGCCAAAATCCTCCGGACACAAAAGAAGCACAGCAGAAACAACAGGCCGAGAAGCAGCGCCGAAATCTCTTGGCGGCCTGGAGGAGGCCCGGCGATGCCCAGCCGGTTGAAGTTCCTTGAGGTTCAGGGTTTACGGTTTAGGGATTAGGGGTTTAGAGTTTAGGGATTAAGGTTTAGGGTTTAAGGTTCAGGGTTTGGGGTTTAGGGTTCCCTTCAGAGGTTCCTTGGCGACCTTTAATATCCTGTACAGCTACAGCATTACTTAGGAAGCACTCAAGGGCTCCGTAAGCATAGTATACATACCGGAAACAGGGTCCTGTGTACCATCATTAAACGCCGTACCTTAAACCCTGAACCCAGGCAATCATTAGCGCTAGACGGATGTGGAGTTGCGGCTCCACGGTCCCTTCTTATTCCTTCTTACCAAAGTCCGTCGCTCCTTCGAGCAATATAGGAGCCTTTGTGATTAGAATAGGGTCTTGGGGTGTGTCATTAAAGGCTTAATGGGCCTTTAAGCATTGCAGCAGGGTCGCGGGGTGGTTTTTGCCTGCGTGATGTTGGGAACTATAGATTTTAAATTATATACAGGTGGCATTGTTACTTCAAGGACCATGGGACGCAGTAACAAGAGTTCTACTCAAGGTAACTTCAACCCCCGCTGAGGTACTTATAACTTTACTTACCAAGTCCCATGATCCTCCAAATACTGTTGATGATAGAAGTCCTGCATTTCCGTAAGGACTCTACACTATGGGACTTATGGTATCCTCCTGATTATGGGATCCGATACCCTACACCCCTAAACCCTAAACCCCTAAACCCCAAGCCCGGTATATTCCTTATTCTGGGTAATGCAGGATTTATATCATCAGCCGCAGTAATTACTAGTATAGAAACCCTACAATTCCATTATATAGCTACTTAGGAACCCCTTAAAGGAGCCCTAAAACCCTAAACCCTAGACCCTTAA